GGGGATGCAGGGGATGATGGTGATGGGGATGATGGGGACAATGGGGACAATGGGGTGACAGGGATGATGGAAATGATGGGGATGGGGATGCAGGGGATGATGGTGATGGGGATGATGGGGACAATGGGGACAATGGGGTGACAGGGATGATGGAAATGATGGGGATGGGGATGCAGGGGATGATGGTGATGGGGATGATGGGGACAATGGGGACAGTGGGGTGACAGGGATGATGGAAATGCTGGGGATGGACAACGGGGATGAGGGGGACAACAGGGGTGGTGGGGACGAGGGTGACACCGCTCACCTTGCACGTGCAGGTACCCCCGTGCCGTGTGCTGCCCGGCGCTGCTGCGTGCCCGGCACTCGTAGTGCCCCTCGTCGGCGGGTTCCACGGCGCCGAACCGCAGCGTCCCGCCCTGCACCACGGCCTGAGGCGGCAGCGCTCCTGTGGGGACACCACTGGTGTCACCCCCCATCACCACATCCCCACGCCCAGTGACAGTGTCCCCCTGTCCCCTGCGGGCACCTACCGAGCCACTCGAGGGTGGGCGCGGGGCTGCCGGTGCCCACGCAGCGGAACTCCGCCGGCTGCCCCGGTGCCACGCTCAGCTGCGCCGGCTCCACGCTGGCGGTGGGCGCGGTGGCGGTGCCGGCTGCGGTGACACCAGGGGGGGCTCAGGGCTCACTGGGCCCCCCCCGGTGCTGGTGGGGCGGTGGGAAGCGGGGGTGGCGTGGCTCAGCTGGCAGCGGGGTGCGCGGTGGAGCCCCGGCATGCAGCGGGTGGGGGCAGCGTGTGGACCCCCCTGGGAGACCCCTGCAGTGACTTACCCGGTCTGTGCCCCTCCATGAACTCAACAGGGCCGTAAAACATCTGAGTCTTGGAGGCTGCTGCAAGAGGGCAGGGGGTGTCAGGGGAGTGCGCCCATCACCCCCGGGTCTGGGCACCAAACCTGCCACCACCCCGGTGTCTGGGCACTGAACCTACCCACCACCATGGTCTCAGGACCCACAGGTTCCCATTCCCATGGTCTCAGAACCCTCTGGTGCCCATCCCCGTGGTCGCAGGACTCACAGGTCCCCACCCCCATGGCATCAGGACCTACAGGTGCCCATTCCCATGGTCTTAGGACCCACAGGTGTCCACTCCCCATCACCAGAGCTCATGGGTCCCCATCCCCATGGTATCAGGACCTGCTGGTGCCCCTCCCCATGGTCTCAGGTCCCACAGATCCCCATCCCCGTGGTCTCAGGCCCCCCCAGTGCCCATCCCCGTGGTCTCAGGACCCCCTGTGCCCACGGCGGTGGGTGGGGCTGACCCTGGACGTAGAGTGTGGCGGTGCCCTGGTCCATGTCCAGCATGTTGGAGCCGGTGCACACGTAGACCCCGGCGTCCTGGGGCCGCACCCCGCGCAGCGTCAGGATCCCGTTGAAGTCCACGGCGCCCGCGGGCAGCGTCCCGTGGTTCTGCCGCGTCCACACCAGGGTGTAGGCGGGAGACTGGCAAGAAGACATGTGGGCAGGCCTGAGGCCATGGGGACGGGCATGCCAGGGGGGCACGCACCCATCTGGGCACGTGCCGGGGAGAGGTGGGTACCCAGGGATGGCCAAAGAGCTATATGGGGACCAAAGGGTGTTTGGGGGGTCTATAAGAGCAGCCAGGGGTGTCCCTGTGCCCTGGGTGTCCCTGTGGGTAAATGTCTGGGTATCCTGCTCTGTGAGACCAGGTGGGCACCCAGGGATGTTCCCATACCCTGGACGTCCCTGTGGGTGCCCAAGGGTGTCCCCATGCCCTGCATGACCCCATGCACATCTAGAGGTGTTCCTATGTCCTGGATGTCCCCATGGACACCCAAGGGTGTCCCTATGCCCTGGATGTCCCCATCGGCAACCATAAGTGTATCTGTGCCCTCCATGACCTCATGGGCCCCCAGGGGTGTCACCTTAACCTGAATGACCCTGTGGGCACCCAGAGATGTCCCCATGGGCACCCAGAGGTGACCCTGTGCCCTGGATGTCCCTAAAGGTATGTAGGGGTGTCCCTGTGGCTACCCATGGCTCTCTGTGCCCTGCATGTCCCCAGGAGCACCCAAGGGTGCTCACATGCCCTATGTGACCAGGTGGGCACACAGGGGTGTCCCTGTGCACCCTGAATGTCCCCTGGGCATCCAGAGAAGTCCTCATGCCCTGCATGTTCCCATGGTCACCCAAGGCTGTCCCCGTGCCCTGCATGTCCCCGTGCCCCCCAAGGGTGCCCTGCACCCCCCGCCGTGCCAGGCCCCCCCTGCCCTCACCTTGCTCTTGGCGGTGCAGACGAAGGTGACGTCGGCGCCCGGCTGCACCCGCTGCACCCGCTTCTCCTCCACGGTGACAGTGATGGGCTTGTCGGGGGTCTCTGTACCCAGACACAGGGACAGCTGAGCCCACCCTGCCCCCCTCCACGCCCACCCCCCTCGGTGCCGGTGCCCTACCGGTGACGATGACCTCGGCACGGCTGGTGTTGCTGTGCCGGAGGTTGCGGCAAGAGCACACGTAGACTCCGGCCTCCGAGGGCTGGATGCTGGGGAAGTGCAGCTCCTCGCCTGGGGTGACAGGCAGGTGACACCCTGCACACCCACAAACGGCCCTCGGGGACACCCTGATGCCCCCGCTTTCACCCCGAGCCACCCCATACCCTGCCGATGCAGACACCCCTCCCACACACCCCTTGGGGACACCCCAATGTCCCCCCGCCCCTTGAGCCACTCCATACCTTGTTGACACTGAGCCCCCCCCCACACCCCTGGGGGACACCCTGATGTGCCCCCACTCTGAGCCATCCCATACCTTGACGGTGCTGACACCCCACATACACCATCCCCCCTGGGGACACCCCAATTTCCCCCCCATCCCATACCCTGCTGGTGCTGACACCCCCCCACACACCCCCTGGGGGCATCCCAATGTTCCCCCTCCACCCCAAACCACCCCATGCCTTGCCTGTGCTGACACCCCCCAAACACACCCCTTGGGGACACCTCGATGCCCTTCTCGCACCCCAAACCTTGCTGGTGCTGACATACCCCCCACACCCCTGGGGGACACCCCGATGTCTCCCCCCTGCCCAGAGCCCTCTCATACCTTGCTGGCACTGACACCCCCCCCACACAGACCCCTCGAGGACACCCCGATGTCCCCTCACCCTGAGCCACCCACACCTCACCAGCGCTAACACCCCCCACACACACCCCTCGGGGACACCGCGATGTCACCCCCTCCCCGAGCCCCCCCACACCTTGCTGGCACTGACAACCCCCCCTCCCCTTGGGGACACCCCGGTGTCCCCCCCGTACCTTGGCGGCGGCTCTGGGCGCCCTCGGGGAGGGCTCTGCCGTCCTCCCGCCCCCAGTGGTAGTAGAGGGGGGGCTCCCCGCTGGCCTGGCACCGCAGGGTGACCGCGCTGCCCCGCGGCACCGCCGTGCGCGGGGGGTGCACCCGCACGGCCAGCGCGGGCGGGGGGCCCGCGGGGACACAGCCCTGCCCGCGCACCGTGGGGTCACCCCGGAACCCGGGGGCACAGCTGCGGGAGCGGGGGACGGGGTTAGGGGCGCCTCGGGGGGTGTTGGGGTGGAGGGATTGCGGTACAAGGGGTGGGGGTGCGGGGGATGCGTGGG